CCCATTACTATTGTGATCCTGTGTACCAAGTAACAGTCTTGTATCTTATTGCGGAGCTTAGTTATGGCAAGTTATTTGTTTTTGATTAATGGCGTTTTGTGGGCGCGGCAGTGGTCCGATTACGCCCATCTGCAATACCAACCGTCTCCCGGTACCAAGAAACATGTCTACCAAGTTTCATAAAGATATCGCAATTTTTACTCAAGTTAGAGCTTGCACGGACGGACGGACGGGCGGACGGACAGACAGTCACCCAGATTTCAACTCGTCTCCTTATCCTGATCATTTATATATATATAACCCTATATCTAACTCGATTAGTTTTAGGTGGTACAAACAACCGTTAGGTGAACAAAACTATTATACTCTGTAGCAACAGGTTGCGAGAGTATAAAAATCACTTAGGCAATAATAAAGCAATCTTATTATTATATGTACATATTAAGTATATAGTTGCAAAACAACAAATTGACTATATTCATAATATACATATTTAAATTGTAAGAAATTTAAAATTACATAAACAAATTTTTGCTTCTTGAATACTCTTTATAAATTTAAAACCAAATATATGGCACCACAATGTGTCCTCTGACACTTCGGCAGACTGTCTATGCGCGTTATCAGATTGAAAATTGATTTGCACAAAAAAAAACGCAGCAAAAACAACAAAAATAGCGGCAAAATGTTGGCTAGGAATTAGATCTTGCAAGTACATATGTTTATGTTCATAAAGTGTATACATACATATATGTATATATACTTGTATACCCAAATGTATGTATGTATAAAAAGTAAAAACTGCAGCGGCAGGCCTAACGGCGATTTGGGTGGTATGCATCCAACGCATTTTTTGCACTAATGATGTGACATGCAACTAAAATGTGCATTTGCTTTAATTTTATACACACAGCAGTACACATAGATACATTTAGCATACACAGCACATACAAATGCATATGCTTACATACATGAGTTTGGCTTATCAGTTTTTTGCGATGAACATATTTCAATGTAAAAATATAATTTATATGAGAGCAGTGTTTGGCAGTTTGCCGTTCGCAGCGTGTACATCAAATGCGCAGAAGACGTGGCAAATATTCAAATATTATATATACATTTTCCATCTACTATTTCTTGGCTTTCAATTGGCCACCAGCCCATCTTGATTAGATGCCAATCAGCAGCACAGCAAATACCAAACGACACATTTCACTCGCAGCTCGTGAGCTCGTGCGTGTGTGCGCGCCATGTTAGTGTGTGCCACTCTATGGTTTTGGCGCGCGCAAATGGGTGGGCTACCGCTGTGCCACCTACCCACACTTGCACTCGTGTTTCTCGTTACAGAAATACATATGTAAGTATGTTAGCTGTCGATTTGTTTGTATGCGCGCATATCAGGCGGCAGCAATCCATCTGTTTCGCATCAAAATGTGTACAGCAATACTAATATAGATGCATGTGTGTGTATGTATATATAACATTCGTGCGCCCTTTTAAATAAGCGCTTAGTATTCGTTGTTGCCCTGCTCCCCTACGGTAGCGCGGGCGTACAGTTTTGCGCTCGTAAATTGTCAGCTGTGTGTGGGCTCACACGTCTAATGTCTAATCTGATTGGCGATTTATGGACATTTTGTTGCCTGCTAACTTATTAGTCACACACACCTACATACATCCATATGTATATTTATTTATCTATCAGTACAGTTGTTTTTGCATGTCCATTTGCTGAAGTCACTCGTCTGCAGTGCACTGTTATAATTCGGTTCTAATGCACTCACACTCGCGTGTGCTCATGCGGCCGAAAAGAGTGCAGTGAGTTTCGCTCTGCGTGGTCATTAGTATGTTGGACATCATTTGATGTTGTTGGCTGTAACGACGAATCAACGAACTAATGGACATTGGTTTAGCGTTGATGGCGTTGCCGATGAAGTATGTGCATTGACGACGGGTGTTGGTTATTGGCTAGTCACTTGCTTAACTTGTACATGTACATATATTGTTCGTGGGTGTGAATTTATGTGTTGGTTTGATTTATTTTAAATTGTGCGCTGTGTAGTGAAAAAATAAATGTTGCGATTTATGGGCATGTGAAATGTTTGCAAGTGGAAAAGATAATGAAGTGTCTTTAAAGTTTATAATATTATTTCAATATTTATGCGCTGATTATTCATATTGAATAAAGTAATCAAAAATATTTAAATATCTTTAATATTCCCTATTTCGATAACTAATTATATAAAGTTTTATATAGCGTGACGAGCTCAGTCAATTAGCCATGTCCGTCAGTCTTAATATACGCGAGAAATGAGCAGCTTTTTGCATACTCCTTTTCTCCCATGAAGCTGCTCATTTCTCGGAACCGCCGACTTGAGACCACTATAGAATATAGCTGCCACACAAACTAATCGATCAAAATCGAGAGTCGGTATTGAAACAATTTTTATTTGACAAGATGTCTTCACGAAATTTGGCACGGATTATCGTCAAAGCAACGCTACACTTCGAACAAATTTTTAATGTTGGGCCACCATAGCATATATATATATAAACTGAGCGATCAAAATCGTATTATTTTTTATTATTGAAGGATATCATAGCTTCGATTCACCGAAGTTAGCGTTTTTCCTTGTTTTACTAAAATTCACTAAGATTTCCTTTAAACAGTATACTAAATTTTTATTTTCACGATTATTTTGAATTTTTCCTTAATTAATTGTAAATTAAACTTTCCCCACTTACTGACATGTAAATGACATTTTTCGAAAAACTTTTTCCACATCACTTAACTAAATATGAGAAAAGATGATCAAAAAGAGCATTAGAAAAAATATATCTTAATAATATATGAATGCCTACAGCATACTTTAAAAACTTTAGAGTCAACGGTAGGCAGGTAAAATATTGAGGAAAATTGCAAAGGTGATAAAAATAAATAAAAAAGTTTTACTAAAAAATACGAAAGGGAAAGCATACGAAAATATTATACAAGTATGTAACTTATTTAAGCTTTTTGATGAAAGTGGTTGCTGAAATTTTTATGGCGCCATGTAATAACTCCATAAACTTTTTAGCCACCCCTAAACTGACTGGCAAGTTGTTGCTACTAATATCTTGTTTTGCTTTTCTTTTCAGCTAATGAATTTTTAATGTGCACTGACGCGCAAAACTCTCTGTTTGTTGTGGTGTTTTTTGACGCTTTTGTTATTAAAACAACAGCCATGTAAACAGGTACTACTATTTATATATCACCTTCTAGGCAGTTTTGTTTTATGAATGCTCATGAATGTAAGAACAATTTCCAGTGCAAAAACAAAATAAAAAACTTTATGAAAATTCAATTTCTCTTCCACATCATTGACGCGGAACAACCTCAAACGCTATCACCTACACCTCCACAGCGCAACCAGCTTACAGCGCAGTCAATGCTATTACACATAAATTACCCCAATTTAGCCGGTAAGCGATTTCTCCCCCATTTATTTTCCAGCGCGCACCGCTTATCGCATCTTCACAGGCCGCACCGTGCACGCGGCAGCCCGTTGTTTGACGCTTATCTTATCATCAAACAGCAAACGATGTATAGGAAAAGGTATTAAACGTATACACATACACAGGAAAATGAATTGAAAACAACAAAAACAATGCCACTTAATGCACAGCATCTTTAAAAAATCATCAACAATTCATCAAAACGTTTAAGAGCTACGCCAAAAGCGTTAAGGGTTGCGGTAAGGTCGCTTGATTGAGTGCGCGGCGTAGGCGAAGTGGCGCGAGTACCGTTATATCAATAAGAATAGAATGACTGACCACGTTTGTTGTATTTGCCACAAGAACATTGCACCCGCCTGACTGAGTGCAAATCTGATTTCAGTTTAAGCTATTTACTTCGCACGCACGCCGGTCGCCACGTCCTTTATTTGCTGGCTGGCGTTCACCCCAAGCGCGTTAGCAACGGCGTTCATCTTAGCGCTGCAACCCTAAGCGCATGGTAAGTCACATATTTGTGTGTGTGCGCGCAAATGGGTGTCACTTTTAATCTCATCACATTTCCGCTACCCTGCACTTGATTTCCTGCAGTTAGAGCTCAAGCGCGGTGGCAACGCAAAATTTGAGGTTAGCGCAGCCACTTGCTCTACACTTACATGTATATGTGGGAAAGCTCAATCAAATATATATATGCCCATGTGTGTGTGACAAAGCGTGAGTATCGGTTTCAAACAAAAACACACACACACAGAAGCATGCCTGCTAAATGGTGTGTGAAATCGCTGCCGCACTTAACGGGGGTTAAGCGCGCCACGCTATAGAGTTTCACTTACCGTTACTCAAACTGCATATTTGGATGTGTGTAACATTTTAGCAATTTATTGTGCCACTTTTTTGTTTTTGTAGTTGCGCTTGTAGTTGCTTCCATTGGCATTATAAACGATTTAAACGCTTATATCATTAAACTATCATCAGCGGATTCACGGCGCGGCAGCACCCGCTGTGCCGCACCACTAACCGGCGCTGTTACCGGAATTGCAGCCCCCTTCCGTTGCAGTTGCCACTTGGGCGTGTGACTTTAGTGAATTTGTTGGCATTTCAGCGTTGTTGGGCAAATAAATTCTGACAGGATTAGCATACTAATAAACACATGTATCTGCGCCTGTGTGTCCGTGTTGGCTTAAATTGCTTGCCGCGGCATAGCAATGTCATTTTTATTGCCGCCGCGCGCACTGATGCAGTCGAAGGCATATGCAGCGCGGATTAGCTTAGTGTATTAGCAGCTACTTGTAACGGACTTAGCTCCCACGAGAGCATAAATGTCGACCTATGTTGGAAATAAACTTTTCGCTTTGCAGGAAATAAAGCGCGGAAGTCATTTATGTTGACAGCGCGCGTGTGTGACTGCGGCTAGGTCTTGCCAAATAGTATGCATATGTTTGAGCTTTTAGTATAAATTCATTGAAAACTTTTTTTAAATATTTGTCTATAAATTGGCTTTTTGCACTTACATTATGCAGCTTGTAGTAGAGTCCGCAGGCATTGCACACTGGTTCGCCGCTGGCGTTCCGCCGCCAAAGTGTTGTCGTTGTGGTTTTGCAATTCGCGCATGATGTCCCCGCTCGCTTCGCGGCGCTTTGTAATGACTGTAGTGTCTGCAAAAGAAAGACAAATAAAAAAGTGGTGTGAGTGCGTGTTTTTTAGGGGGGTCTTATTTGTAGTAAAAGGGTTAAATCGCTAAGTCAATTTTGTTGGCAATAAATTAAGTTTTTGTGTAATTTTCTGTGGCTGCGAAAGCGAAAAAAACTCGCAACAAGCCACGATTGTGGTCGAATAAGCAATTCGCTTATTATTGATTTGCGCAAGAGAGTCATATGAAATTTACTACATATGTATTAATATACATATAATATATATGTACATATGCGTTTGGGTATATTTGACATTTTTATACGACGAAGTTGACTTTACTTGGTTGATTCTTATTGATTTTCAAATACGAACAATGTTTAATTTGTTTGTATTAGATATTTTTTTGAAATAAAAGAAAATATCTATATACTTTTGTAAACATTTTTCATTTTAAAAACTTTTAATTTTGATACTTGTACTCTACAGTTATGTATTTTTTTATATTTTTATTGTTGAAAAATTTTATGAGCCATTATACAGGTTTTCCAATAAGATTGACATGACTTTTATTCAAAAAAAAAAAAAACACTAATTTTTAAGGAAACGCAAATGTTTTCTATTTAATGTGAAGTGCAATCGATACAATTAAATTCTGAATATAACATTATTTAAATGGGTTCCTCGACTTCTTTTGCAGGAAAGAATTCGATAATGATGCTGATGAAACTGTTAACATTACTGAATGCAATGAAAAAAAAATTCAGATCACGACATATTAATAATGGCCGAAAAGTCCCTTGGAAATCATACATTCCTTTTGGAAACCCGAGATTTATATTTTTATTTATTTAAATTTCTAATTTTTCAAATTTTTTTATGGACCTTCCCAATAAACATTTACTAATATAATTGAAAATATATTCAATAACGCAAACTTTTTCTTCAAAAATTTCAAATATGTAAAAATAGAAAATCTTCATTAACAACTCTTAGTTTATTGTTGAGTTGAGGGCTAGAAAAAGCTAGAGTTTTTGTTGTTGTTTATATACAATATATATATATTTATATAATAGTTTAATCTTGCATTTTATTTAAATTTTCTGCTTTGCTTACAAAACATTCGAGAAACATTGTAAATTTAAAATTAGATATTGTTTCACAACAAAAAATATAAAATATAATTTTTTATTGTTAATACAAATCCATTATTAAGTTAAAATATTTGTGGGAGTTTGAAAAAAAAAGAAATATTAAATAGTTCAATTTACAAAAAATTATATTGAAAACAAGCCAAATATCTTATAAAAAGTACAAACATTTTATTAATAATATTTTATAATTTTTATCCAACTTTTTTATTTGAAATATTTTAAACACTGCAATCTATTTATGTTCACAAAAAATATTTATTTGTATAAATAAAAATATTAAAAGAAACAACAAAAATAAGCAAAATAGTCGCAAATCAAAGTAACTCCGTGCTTGCTATAAATTTTAATTATTTTTCAAAAGTTGGATACATATTATATGAATTAAATTTTTTCTCTATCACTTAAAAATTCTTAAAAATTAAAAGTTATTGAATATTGAAAATTAATAATATTACTTAAAAAAATCGATGTAATATAAAAATTTTGTTTGTCTGCATCATATAGAAATTCCAAATAACCATTTCATACACACATAAATATAAATAAACATAATAAATATCTTTAAAAAATATTATTTTTAAATGTATAACAAACAAATTCTGTAAAAAAATGAACAATTCATAACCTCAGAAAATATACGACAAAATCTTTGAAGCAAAGCAACCATGAATTTTGAAAACTTTTTAAATAGCTTAAAATATATTACTTTATTTACATTTCTTTTCAAACAAACAATTCGAAAAAACTTTTAAAGTGGAAAACCATAAATATTTCACTAACAGAAAATAATAAAAGACATTTTCTATATAATATAAAAAGCAATGTTACAGAACTTTCTGTATCTTAAAAAAATTTGAAATAGCTATCTTATCCTGAAATTTAAAAAAATATTAAAAATGTATATTATTAATTACATAATAAATAGCTTTAAAAAATAATTTAACAACTAAGAAAAATGAGAGAAAATATAAATATATATAAACCATGACAACTCGGTTTCTTCTAAGAATTACAAGTATGTTATTTTAACTAAATTTTTTTCTTTTTAGTAAAAAAATTTTAAAACAACTTTTAAAGTTGAAAACTAAAAATATTTTACTAACAAAAAAATATAAAAATTATTCGAAAAATCAAGGTTGAAAAATAAATTTTTGTTTAAACTTTATTTTAAAAAACAATTTCATATAAACTAAAAAAGCTTCAAAATATATATAATTTATATAAGGAATATTTTTAAAAATAAACTAAAAAAAATTTTAATCAAAGCAACTCTGTTACCTTTAAATTTTCACACTGTTGTACAAGTACTACAAAATATTTAAGATTCTTAAGAACTTTTAAAGCCAATACTAGCATGTTCGAAGCATGCATATACATAAATATATGTGTCTGCAAGTACATATGTATGTGACACGACTCGCGTTTGCACACCAAAAATATGCCATAACACGAATTCTCAAATAAATACCAACAAGTGTGAGCTCGCATGCGTAGTACACAAATCAATATGAAATCGTGTTTTTCAATCTTTTGTGCACAAAAGCACACAAATACACACACGCACATGCATACGCACACTCATGTGACCTGTCGCTTAATTTTATGCCCAACCAATGCAATCGTAATGGGCGCGCGAACCCGCACTGCTTCACTAGGCCACTGCACGCCGGAGAGGACACATATACGTATGTATGGGCGTGAGTATGTGTGATTGTTTGTTGCTATGTAGGTGTGTTCAGCAATGTGACAAATATGAAGGTGTTGGTGAAATCTGCTGCTTTGAACAGGATACGTGGATAGCAGTGAACTGGATTGCAGTGCATTGGTGTTGTTGGAGCTGAGTGGTGCAGTGTTGCATAGTGAGTGGCGGTGTAGCAATGTTGCTTAATGTTTCGAATTCATTAAAATGGACCTTGTTAGCATTAAAATGTTATTTTCATTAATTTTGCTTTAAACTTTTATTTTATTGTTTTAGTTGCCGTTGTTGTTGTACAGGATTTTGTAGGCGAGGTGTGAAATGTGTTGCAACAACGTTGTAAGACGCACACGGCTATTAACGAGCAAAACGGTGAAAAAGTTAAAAAACAAAAAATAACAACAACAACAGCGATAATGTCAACATCATCAACACCAGAGACCAGAGAGTTTTGTCGAATTGTCATGTTAACAACTTAATTTATACTGTTTGAAGCGAATTGTAAAGAAATGCAAATGTTTGGATATACGGGTTTGTATAGGTGTGTGTGTGTGTGAGTGTTGGTCACAAATGACAGCAGTAATCTTTTTATTGTTGTAGTCTTACTTAGTATTCAAGCCTTCATATATATATATATATATATTTTTATAAAAAAACAACAGGGTTGCACTTGTGGGCGTTGCAATTAATTTCGATTTTCGCACATTTTGCAAAAAGTTAAACGGTTTGTGGATTTCCGTTGCTGCCCCAAAACTGATTGCGGCCAAGTTATGTTGTATATGTTGCATACAATTGTATCGCCTGTATGTTTTTTATTGTTGTTGTCTCAATTGAAGTGCAAAATTATGTAAGCGAAAATAGTGGCAAGTTCGTTAGGCATGTGGCACAGTGCAACGGGCAGTAGTTACGCTTGAAAAATAAACAAAAACAACATTGTTTGTGGCGAAATTTATGCGCTTCACAAAGAAATATACGTCTTTATGTGTGCCACAACCTTCAAAACGTGGCCGAAACAGGTGGTGGCAAGTGCAAAGCAAGCCGTGATATGCTGACCGTTGAACATGCAACTGCGATTGAAAAAACATCAATTAAAAGTTCATCGTCAAACATGATCAATAGCAGACAGTGAACACAACACGCTAGATAGCGCATATGCAACAGCAACAAAAAAGAGAGAAGTGAAAAATTAAAAAAAAAATCTGAGCACTTAATGCAGTAACTGGCTTTTAGGCGAGAAACTCGAACGTTTCAGCGTGTTGCATGAACATGATCACGTGCAAAGCCAGCGGAGGCAAGAAAAGGGTAGGTATATTGGAAAAGAGGCAAGATAAAGTGTGGCTCAGCCAGAGTGCCAACTAACTAGGCGTGTGCGCTTTACGGAATGCAGCTCTGGCTATTGTAGACGCTTGGTGGCAGCTTGGCGTTGCACTTGCGTACAGTAGTTTTCAGGTAAAAATCACACACACACGCTTAAAATGTGAGCTTAAAATGAATTCAAAATTAAAAGAGCTGAACTTCACGCTTAAGACCTGGTCTGGCTGCTGCAGCAATATAGTCCAGCCACGGCGAGTTGCTCGCAGTTAAGTTTGTAAAACCGAAAAAACTAAGCATTATCGTATACAACAACAACAACCACAACAACTAAGGCAGCAACAACAGTTAGTGTGGCACGTCGCATTGTATGACCGAAGTTAAAAAGCATGCGCTCATGTTGCAGGCAATTCGTGGAAACCTTGGAAGGACAAGAGGAAATCAACAACGCAAGCAAAGAGAAGTGGATAAAGCCTAAAAAGGCAGCAAAAGCAATAAAAACATGAAAGAAATTAACTTCGATTGCATCGAAGCTGTAATACCCAACACAAATACAAAAGATTCCTTACAAGAACTTGATTTTGATTGGTGAGTTTGTATGGCAGCTATATGCTATTGGGGTCCGATCTGAACAATTTCTTTGGAGATTTTATCAAAAAACCGAGGGAGTATATGCACAGACGGACATGACTAAATCGATGGCCGATGTTTTCTTCTGGGTGTTACAAACTTCGTTGCAAACTTTACATATCTTGTTCAGGGTATAAAAAGTAACAAAAAGTGCTGTAACAAATGTGCAACAGTGGCCAAGTAGCTGCTGCTCATCATGTGAGTTTTGTAAAATTGACATTTTAATGAATTGCGC